TAGAACTTCCGCAGCAATTCATCGATAATTGTATTCCAATGTTCTTTTGTTTAACGGAAATAACAGCTTCTGGCTTCTACTGACAATGACTTGCAGCTTTTATTAACAACCTTTGCCAAATCTGCGTCCCGTATGAAAATTTACCAACAACTTTACCATACGCTACCAGATAACTGATTTTAAACGCCTCAGCACGGTGCGCAAAAGTAAAAGAATGGCTGATAGGAGAAACTCTTACTTTGCCATGGTGGATACTGATAACAGCATGCCGCCATAGCCCTCAAAAAATCAGCCGTTACACCACGATCTAAACATTCAAGAATCTTTGAAAATATCTTCTCAGATTCACCCTAAGTGCAGATAAAGAAGACAGAAAAAAGAAACTACCTGTAAAGATACAGCTGGAGTTATTTTATACTCACCTATCTCGAGGAGGTAACTGACAGATGGAAGAGGACTTAACTGGAAGAAAATTTAAGCAGGAAGGAAACTTTCAATTGCTGAAAAAAGAACTGAAAGCTCATTAAATTAATTTTGCTACCTACAGAAGATCGTTACTAATTTTCAAATACTATCGAATCGAAAACATCCAGAAAATCAGTTTGCAAAAAAAATCAGATACAAACGTTTGACTGGGAAAAATCATGAACAGGCTTCGCCTCTCAACGCTGGCAAATTAGTTCATTAAAACTTAGAGCTTTACTCTGCGCGATACTTTCGAATCAGTAAAAAACTGTTCCAGTTACCAATAACTGAATATATGAAAGAATATTATGTAATTAAAAAGTGTTTTCCTATGCACACTAAGATAGCATACCAGTTTTCGACTGTTTCTTCTTTTTTTGCATATGTACTGTTTGAGGGCTGCAAATTAACCTGTTCAAAGTAGCTTCTTTTCATTCTTCGTTACTCTGCTTTTTATATCGTAACTACACGGAACCTTTTGATATCAGTGTATCAGTGCAAGTTATTCATTTCTTTTTGCATGCTTACCTGCCACTCTTTAAAAAACCTTCCGGTCAGAAACCAACGATAGTTGCCAATGTAAACAATGAAACTTAAGCGCAGACGAAGAAAACAGAAAGAAAAGGGGAAAAAACACGGCTCAAGGTTCCAGCAGATAACACTATTTGCAATTACGACACAAAAACAATTCATACTAATCTGAACACTGGTGAATTTTTTTCAAACAATGCCATCTCATCTGAACTCCCTTCTGCTCTTCTGGAAATCATTATTCTTTGGGAATAAAAAAACAGTGAAAAAAAAAAAAACTAGCCAATTATAATGGACACAGAAAAAAAGAAAATTTTTATAGAGAAAGAAATGCTTTTAATTTTCTCGTAGTTTAGTAACTTTACAATATGTTAACCTTACAAAGTGTTGTGATAAATAGAAATAGTTGCAATTATAGGACTGAGAAAGATTGAAAAAAAAAAGCCAAGCACCAGAATTATAATTTCGAAAACTCCAGTCACCGTCCGGAGTCCTGAGCTCTGAAGTGCAGTTGAAAATAGTTTACCATAGTGGATAGTTGCCAAAGTTTTACGCCAATGGCGGCAAAACATAACCGACTAAAGAAGCCAAGATTGAGTTTTCTTGTGGACGACTGATTTTACGTTTATTTTTCCTGACCTGAAGTTTGGTGTCGGCATTATTAAGATGTTGAAGCAAGTTCATGATTTTTCAAATTTACTAGGTTTTTTTCAAAAGAAACTTGTAGAAATGCACAGTTTTGGCAACTGAGGTACAAGTTGATTGCGCATATATCACTGCTTAATATAATTGGCTATCAGCGGTTGGCCATTTCGATTATCTATATAAATGTAAAATGTAACAGGCTTCATACCTGATTGTCATCCTCATTTTTTTCTTTCTCGTCATCTGTATCCGACGCCAGCATTTTCATTTTTCAGACTTGGTTAAGGCATGTCGAAAGGGATTGTCACCGTACAAGCGATTCAGCAAGATCAGATAACTCAGGTAAGTGATTTCTTATTGAAACATTTGATTTTTATATTACGCTAAGGTCCAGTCAATTTTAAAAGTTCTTGTGAAGCTCTTTTCTGAAGATTTATTTTTTAACAGATTGCCTGCCAGTACTGGGCACCTTACTCTAAAAATCACCTTCCTTTTGATGCTGATGTAGTCAGTCGTATATATTCGGAGCAGATTTTCATCGATGGCGCTTATGCATCTAAAAAAATCGTTATGTTGGAATTCAGGTTTCTTTTAGAGCCTTATGACAGTTTCTGAAGTTTTTCTCAAAAGTATCTTCATTTTCCAAATTGTTTTTAGCCAGTATCTTGAGAGATACCTTTGGCCAAATTACGACCCCTCAACTGCTGATGTTAAATACCTTATGTCGATGGTTGTGATGATCAATGAAAAATTCCGTGAAAGGATTTTAGCCTGGCGGGTAACCTTCTTTTTAACAACATTTCGTTCAGATTAGGTATATTCGTTAGATATGTTAAGTACTGATTTTTGCCTTTTTTTAAGTGCATCTGTGAGCGGCCTGCTAAGTTTCCTGCATTTTTTCGCTCTGTACTCAGGTTGGCCCTAGAAGATACTGAACTTAGTACAGTGGAACAGTCGGCAATAATAACCTTTTTCGTTAATTGCTGCAACTCAATCGTAAGTAATTTGATTCTAGTTGTTTTTATATTTTTCAAATTTCGTAATAATTTACGCATTATGCTCACAAAGATTTCGTAATTTTTGTTTGCCAAATGATTAGAAAATTTTAGGAAGTTGACGTAGTCCGCGAAGAATTCGTAAAAATAGTTTCGCTTTCGTCATGGATCAATTTATTACCGGTTTGTCCCTACCTTACTTCCTGCAGTTCATTCACGGAGGTGATTTGGACAGAAGAGTGATTTCTCAGAATCATTGTTGATATTTTTAGGTGCAGCGGGATGACATGTTTAACAGTTATCCTAAATTACGTAAATATTGGAAAATTATTGAAAAAAAAAGTGCCAGTATGAATGAAGAGCAGAGGAGGAATTTTGAATTCGAAAGGACGTTTGTGTGGAAGATTTTACAAAAATTCAAGGAAAAACTGAATGAAATTGACGATGAGAACAAAGGTTTGTAACTTACTGAAGATCTGCTTTTGAAAACAAGATTTTTTGTTTTTCAGTTGTTTTTGTTCTATTCTTGATACTTTTTTTCATTTGAAACTGTTCAGAAATTGATTTGGATGATATACATTACATGGAACGTTGTTTGGAATGGTTCATAGACCTGGAGGCATTACTTACTACGAGGTTGGTTTGTAAACTTTAGCCCTGTTTCTTTTTCACTATCTCTCTTCTTTAGAGTGCATAATTTTTTTTATTTGCATTTGTACTTTCATTCAGGCGTTTTTTTAATGCGATGTTGCGCTCTAGTCACCTTATTGCTTACTGCACTCTTTCTTCTTTAATAACTTCTGAAGTTGGAAGTTTGTTTTGTCAACTGGTGAGTATGCTTCGGTTTTATCAGCGCTTTGAAATAGACGATATTAATGGTGAAGCGTTGTCTGCGTCTGAGGTAATTCAGTTTAGAATTCTGCTTCGTTTTTAACTTCTTCTTTGATTTTGCACTTCTAATATTACGTTTGGTATGATGCCTCATTTAGATCGGAGGGGCCTACTATGTAAAGTTAACTGTTTTTTAGGTGGAGAAGAGGCATCACGAATGTGTCAGAAAACTACAAGGAGCAGCACTGCGTTATTTTAGGTTTTATCCTTTTGTTTAGCTGAATTCATTTTTAGAAATCTATGGTCTATTGCTTTTTAAACTGTAGAACTGTCATGTGACTTATCTGAAAATTACTTTTAAAGTTGCTGGAGGTTTTCGAAAAGTTTAGGGCTTTTGTAGCAGATTTTTGTTCACTTTTCAGCGACACAATGCGCGAATTCTATTCAGTCAATGTTAATGCCTGTGACTCGAGGAAAGCTTTAGTCAAACAGTTTGGGTCTATGAGGTAAGTATTTTCTGGTAGTTTCTTTTTGTGATTTCATATAAATCTTCTTAACAGTTTGCTATAGCTTTCGACTTCGTTCAATACTTATTGTTTAGTGTGAAGGATTTGCGTAAATTTGCTGTATGCTTGCATCTTCTTAGTGATGAAAAGATTATAGACGATTCAGGTGATAGTCATGATCATTACTCTCACGAATATTTGACTGAAATTATTGTAAGGTTTTTTCATTTTTCTTACTTAAAACTCGTCTTTCAGACAATAACGTACAGTTTTAGTCACTCTTTTTATCTAGGTTATTGAAATTTTTTATTATCCTGATTACTTCATAATTATGCTTTTTTTCGCGTAACTTATAATTTTTTACCCCTTTTCTTGAAACCTTCATGTCACATTACAGATATCTCACTGTGAAAGAAATATAAACCAACTACAGCAGCTCAACGAGCAGCCGTTGTATCCGACTGAAAAAGTTATTTGGGACGAAAATTTAGTTCCATATGACGAGTATTCTGGAGAAGGTTTTGTTATAAATTATTTTGTTTATGATAACTTGCGCCATTTGTATGTAGGTTAGAGCAGTTATTCAGTCATGTTTCTGTCATTGATATTATTTCCATTTTCACTTCATGCATTATACCGTGGCGCTTATACTGCGTTTATCAAGTTTTTGGTTTCCATTCCAGGCGTGCTTGCTCTCAACAAGTTGAATTTGCAGTTCTTAACGTTTCATGATTACTTGCTGAGGAACTTTAATTTGTTTCAGATGGAGTCCACATGTATGTTTAGGAAACTTCAATAATATTTTTTCAAATTTTCTAGTTTTCTGCTAAGTAATTTTTGCTCATTTGTTTTTAGATGAAATTCGGCAGGACATTGAAGACGCTGTTTTCCGAATGAAGCCTTGGGCCCATGAAACCAACCCTAGAGAGATTGTGTGGGGTGGGTGGGCTCGTATGGCTACTCCTTTACACAGCTTTCAGGTCAGGACGTTACTGAAATTTTTCTCTGCTTAGTTTTACGTACTTCGTGAGATTTTTAGATAGTAGAAGTTGGGAAACCTCTTCTTGGAGAGAAGAGCCCTGCAGTAGTGAAGGCTGATATTTCGATCACACTTCCAAGAAGAAACGATCTTCGTTCCGAGTGGGAAGGTCTGACGACTTGATGAAAATGGTTTCATTTTAGCCCTAGAGGTGATATTTTTTATATGTTCCTGATGCTACTCTTTATTTAGGTTTGAGGAAACATGATGTTTGTTTTCTACTTACCGTTCGTTCTGAGGCGCCGGTAGGAACAAAGTTCAATCCAAGAAAACCATTTAAGGAACAGATCAAGATTGGATACGTGCGTGGTTGTGAAATTGAGGGGATGATTGATTCTATGGGGAATGTTATTGAAGAATATGGTGCGTCTTATTCAACTTTAATTTATAACTGGTTTTTAATGTATAATATTTCAATTTTTTAGAAACATACGAGAAAAAACCGCAAATCGAGGGAGACATTCGTACTTACAGGGTCTGGCTTGACCAAAATCAGTACAGGATTGATATGGCCGCACATCAAGATAAGGGAGCTGAAGTAAATTTTGATGAACTTCCGAAACTAATTATACATTTGAATGTATTATAATGTAGATAAAAATGATTTAATTTAGGATGTATATTACACATTCAATTTATTAATTAGACGAGACCCCAAAACTAACAATTTTAAAGCTGTTTTATATACTATTCGACAACTGTTGAATACTGAATGTGTAGTTCCTGATTGGTTGCACGACTTGATATTAGGTTATGGCGACCCCAGTGCTGCGAATTACAAATCGTAGTTCCCTTTTTTACTTAAAATTTGGCTTTATTGTATTTTTTCAAATTTTTTTTAACAAATGATTAAAGTTGCTGAATTTAGGTTGAGTAATTCTGTACCAACGATGGACTTTTGCGACACGTTCCTCTCTTATGACCATCTTGTAGCTTCATTTCCAGAACACAAGATTATACCATCCAACGGTACTCAAGAATTGGCGCCACCTTTCAGGTTTCGTTAAGATGATAAAAATTGAGATTGTAGTACTGCACAAAAAAACCCCAAATGTTAGTGCGAGGAAAAACGATGGTGGTCTTATTGTATTTTTTATTACAGGCTAACATTTAAGGAACTAGAGCCGCAGCACGGATTGGAAGATGCTGAACAAGATAAATCGATTGTCGTAGAGCCGTATGTGGTCCCTAGTAGAGGACCATATCCACATGTTGAACCACGTCGGAATACTATTTTATTTACTCCTGCACAAGTACTTTTAATGCCCTACTTTAACTTTGTAGTGTATTTTATAATAAAATATTTTCCATTAATTTGTTGTTTCTTTCAGGTAGAAGCTATTAAGTCTGGTATGCAGCCTGGTTTGACCATGGTTGTTGGCCCTCCCGGAACTGGTAAAACTGACGTAGCTGTACAAATTATTTCTAATATTTACCACAACTGGCCGGAGCAGAGGACATTGGTGGTGACACACTCCAATCAGGCTTTAAATTTGCTATTTGAGAAAGTGATAGCGCTTGATGTAGATGAGCGCCATTTACTTCGGATGGGTAATTAATACTTAAGCTTTTTTTGATGTCATTTTTATTAATTCTCATTTTTCCTTCAAGGTCAAGCCACCTTTATGTATTACGGAGCAGCAAGCTCCTCAAATGATTTTTAATTGCATTAAATCCTACTTATTGGACATTATTTTTGAAGATTTGGCAATTTTTAGGGCATGGTGAGGAAACGTTGGAGACAGAAAAAGACTTTAGTCGTTATGGCCGTGTTAATTATGTTTTGAAACAACGTTTGGATTTATTGAAAGAGGTAAATTTGACAGTTTTTCACTGTTGGCTATTTGATTTCTCTTGCTCTTTATGTCTTGTGACTGGTTGGTTATAGGTAGAGAAATTACAAGTATCATTAGATGTACAAGGCGATGTAGCGTATACCTGCGAAACTGCTGGTCACTTCTTTCTTTATCAGGCAGGTTTTGGTTGAGTGGTGATTTTCTCGAATTCTTTCCTTTCGGCCACTTTTATATTTTTTTCCGAAGTCGAGAGTATAGTATTTAGGTGTTTGCTCGTTGGGAAAAATTTGAAAATGACGTCAACAGCTTATCGACTAGTGAAAAACAAATTCCAGGAGTTGTAGGGAAATATTTTCCTTTTGGGAAGTATTTCGAAGATGCGCCGCAACCTCTCTTTAAGGTCTACTTTTGGTATTCATGTAAAAGCTGTTATTTATGATAAAAAGTTGTTTACTTTTGATTTGGTGTGTAAACTTTTATGGGTAGTATTATTGTCTTTCAAGGGCACCTCCTTTGAAGACGATTGGGAAGTTGCACAGGGATGCTGGCGTTATATACGTGGCATATTTAATCAACTGGAAGAGTTCCGTTCATTTGAATTGCTACGCTCTGGTCGGGACAGGGCTGAATACCTACTTGTAAGTTTTGTGACTTTCATTTTTCTTTTTTTAAACTAGGAATCTATATGTTTAAGGTAAAAGAAGCTAAAATAATTGCCATGACGTGCACACATGCAGCACTGAGGAGGAAAGATTTGGTAGAATTGGGTTTCCGTTACGATAATATTATCATGGAAGAAGCGGCTCAAATTTTGGAAGTCGAGACGTTTATACCACTTTTGTTGCAGGCAATTTATTTTATAAATCAAATTCCTACTAATACTTATATTTTGTGCTATTCCACTTGAACTTTTTCTCAGCCGTTCCGCCGTTCTTTTTATGACTTCTGTGACTGCTTTTTTCATTTCTCACTGCTGTATTCTTAGTTTATAGAACCCACAGGATGGTAGAAGTCGCCTTAAAAGGTGGATAATGATCGGAGATCATCACCAGCTACCTCCAGTCGTTCAAAATATGGCCTTTCAGAAGTACTCAAACATGGAACAGAGTCTCTTTGCTCGTTTTGTACGACTCAGAGTTCCACATGTTCAGCTTGACCGTCAAGGACGAGCGAGAGCAGAGTCCGTCTTTTTTTGGAGTTAACAGAAATTTTCATGAAAGCAGAATTGCGGTCGCTTCTTGTTACTCACAATTTTCCATTTTCAGACTCGCTGCTCTTTACAACTGGCGTTATAAGAATCTTGGAAATCTTCCCCACATTCAATCTTTTGAACAGTTTCAGCTTGTTAATCCTGGTTTTATGTTCAATTACCAGCTTATAGATGTACCAGATTTTAACGGGATTGGGGAAACCACTCCAAGCCCTTATTTTTACCAAGTAAGCTTTTGTTTTTAGTAAACATCTTTTATTACATGCTGTGGTTTGCTTATTTGGTCTTACATTTTACGTGGTTTAGAATCTTGGAGAGGCAGAATATGCTGTTGCTTTGTATACATATATGAGGATCTTGGGTTATCCCTCAGAAAAAGTTTCTATTTTAACTACATATAATGGGCAAGCATCATTGCTTCGGGACGTTGTAGAAAAACGGTGCGCAAATAACCCTCTCATAGGGTCTCCGCATAGGGTACTTTACATTTCTCATCGTCACTGATTTAACACTTCTGAAAATTCTCTCTATTTTTCGAATTTTTGTTTCAGATTTCTACAGTGGACAAATATCAAGGTCAACAGAATGATTATGTAATTCTTTCACTAGTGCGGACTAAGAATATAGGACATATACGGTATGTATACAACAGAGAGTTGTCATAAACGACTGTTTAAACATGCATTTTCTTCATATTTCGCACGCTTAAGCTTAAAGATGCTCTTTTATGGTTATCTTTGTGTGCTCTCTTCGCGTTATTTTTTGACCAGGCATATAATTCGGTGTTCAGGGATGTAAGACGACTGGTGGTTGCACTTTCTCGGGCTAGGCTCGGTCTTTATGTGTTAGCTAGAACCAGCCTTTATCGCAATTGCTTTGAGTTAACTCCTGCTTTTCAGAAAGTTGGTGACTTTTTTTTTCTGTCTTTACACACAGGATTTCTTTTGTCCCTGTACCTTAAACGATAATATTAGTTTTGTTGAGTATCAGAAAACAAGTATGGTCTCTATTTTAGTTGTGCCTGTATCCGCGGAAACTGTTGATTGTTCCTAATGAAACGTTTCCTGCAAAGCGAAAGGTCTTTTTTCTATGTGCATAATTTCTGTGGTTTAGTTCCTCATTCTTTTAATTAAAGCATGGCTTATAGAAATCAAATTTTTAATTATTTTATAATATTTTATTAATTTTTTGATTTTGAGATTGGTGTTCCTCCTCCGATGGAACCGATTGAAATACAGGACACCTCTCATATGAGTAACTTCGTGCATCAGTTGTACATAAGTAATATGGAGCAAATGAAAGAAAACTATAAGTTACATATGAAGGAGTTTTTCAACGCAAGAAAGGTATTTTGTTGTATGCAGAGTGACTCTGGCTATTTTGTTGTATAGGATTTTAATGTAGTATAGTTGTCTCATCTATTGTAATCAGGGTTCTCGATGTGATTGGTAAATACATGATTTCTTGTATTTTCAATTACAGGCTGCTCTTGAGGCGGAGCTTGCTGCAGAAGCGGAGGCTCGGGCTGTTGAAGAAGCAAAAACAGAGGAGGAGAAGGGTGTTCCTGAGCCAGTGGAGGCGGGTTCTCAAGAAACTAAGATAGTTTTCGAAAGTATGGATTTTGAAAGGCAAGATCCAAGTGTTCTTGGAAAGTAAATGCTTCATTCTTCGGCATTAACCAGGTACCTATTTTTTTGCAATCTTTAATTCTTGAAATTGCGCATTTTAATAGGAGTCTGTTGTAGCTGTAGATTGAATTTAAACGTTAGAGGACCTAAGATCATTGGTGAATAAAAGTTTTTTTGAAATGAGCTCTTTATTCACCGGATTATCTACTAACTAAGCAGGTGCCAAAAGTTGTTTGCTACGGATGTTGAAAAAGCAAATTGGAGCTGTTACACTGAACAAAAAACTTACTAATTTTGGTTTTTCCATGTTAGGTTGCCTAACTTTGCCTTTTTTTTCGTGGTCTTGTCTTTTTCTATTTCCGGTCTGGAAAGAACCCATAACTGAGAACTTTATGTTATTATTTTAATTAAAATTGAAGAGAAGTTGAGTTTTTAAACGGGGTAAGTAATCTACATTTATCAAGACACTATTTGATTATCATTTCTTTGCTCTATTTGGCAATAGGCTTGTAAACAGTGCGTTTGGATGGTTAGCGAAATAATCACGTAACCAACTAATTTGATTTACAGTGCTGGAAGAAGCGTAATTGGCAAGATACTCACTGCGATTTTTTTTGTGGTCGGCCGTTCAATTCTTTCATTGCATTGAAGCCAGCCGTTTATTCGATCCTATCTTCGGTTGATACGTAGCTTGGCTTTCCTTTTTTCACATTATTTGTGACGTCAGTTGTTCAGTTTTGTTTTTCACGTTTTTTTGTGAGACAGTGATTTGGAGGAGATAATGCAATTAAGAAGGAGGGTCTGATTACATTTCGCATGAAATGATTGTCTGTATTATTATTGTTAGTGAAAGTATGAGGATGACAGAGAAGCGACTAATAATTGTATTTGATTGTCAGAAACGACTAGAGAAAAGTCAATAAATATGCCAAACTTACTAGCTGGTGCTTTTGCGTGTCGTTGCATGCGGTACTTTTAATTTTGTGTTATGAGTTAAGGAAGCCCATCGTCTGCAGTCCAGCAGCTGTTGTACGAGTCAAAAAATTGGAGTTGTATGTTGCAGCAGATGGCATTTGTAAACAATCAGAGGTAATAATATCTTGACTAATTTTGTTAAACGAGACCACTTTGCAGTCAAACTTGAAGGTTCCAAGAGTCTTCGTTTTGTGTCATTTTATGATCGTTCTTGATTAAGCATTTTTTGGATATTAGCAACTGTTGCATTTTCTTATTAATTTGATGAATTGAAGTATAAGGAAGGATTAATTGGGTTATTGGGAGTGTAAGCCGATGTCGAAAATTATCTTGATCTGAGTCAGCTTTTTGTTAACCTGAGGTTGCACACATACGGTATTTCAACTTAGTGCGAACAGGGTCTTAAATTCACTATTTTTGAGAGAAAGGCTTGCTTTTCAAGATGGCTATCCTTGCGAACGGGCTGGAGTTGGAGTTATGCAGCGTTTTTAAGGTGCCAGACAGGGGGGAATACAAAGTTAGTTTGGTTCGAGTTTTTATGTCTTCTAGTGTACCTATCTTTATTGGTTACTAGGTAGGCACAATATAAATGTGATGCAACATTCAACAGATAAACAGTGCTGAAATAGGATCAATAAGGAATCAGTATAAAAGGGGAAAAAAGACAGGCAGCCTTGTAGTGGAAGTAGTGAAAAATTGAGGCAACGATAAGCAAGATAGATAAAAAACCAACTCCATTAGTGGGACAGAGGAACCTCTTATTGTACCCAAATCAAAGTGGTATCATCAGAGGTCTTTAGAGTATGATGTTTACGATGTGTAAATGACCTAACAGCTAGAGCAATGTACAATATTTGGTCTAATGACACAGCACGGGTCATTTCTTTCTGTAAGTTTTCATGTGACAGTCGTGCTTCACTATACCCGTCGTGTACACCATCGGCATGGAATTATTTTAAATTTTTGTAGCGGAACATTATAAAATTTGATCGTCTTGTTGTATAAGGCCGTTCTGTAAAGAGTTCTGGTAGGACACAGTGAGAATTTTTATGAGTAATATGAATATTGCTATTGAATTTGCTATTGAACACATTCCATTTTTGGAAGATTATGATGAGGGAAGTTAGAAGGACAAAGGACAAATTTTTTTTTCAGGGAGGCACTGAAGGAATTTTTAGAGTCAAAAAGTGGTGATAGATTCTACGAGCTGAAAGAATTGTTGAGTTTGGAGTTTTTTTGTGGCGCTTCAACTTGTGCTCTTTATACTTTAATTACAGTAAATTTTATGATAAAACGAATAACGTCTTTTATGGAGGGGACTTGTTGTTTTATATCAATCAAAAAAGAACCTTTTGTTTAGTGCTTTTTTTCCTGCTAAAAAAAAACGAATTGCAAGTTTAATTCTGAAACTTTGCTGAACCACCATTTCAAAGGTTGTTTTATGTATAAACAAAATCAGAAACTGAAACTTCAACAGCGATAGTTCTCTCCAAAAAAAATTGTTGGTTTTACACGGAACTTTTAATATCCTTGCGAAGCATTTCAGTAATTTTTTACTACTTAAAAGTTTTCTGTTCTGATAAGTACATGGGCAATTTAATCATACAGTTGCAAAAAAGCTACCCAAGTTTGGAATAAATTTTATTCTGCGGGCTTTAGCAATAGGGTTACGAGCTACTATTGATTTGTTGTGAAAAAAAAGCCATCTTATGGATTTATTTTCTTGTATTTCTGATAATCATTTTATTTAAATTTTTGAAAAACACTTTTGTCGTTCAACCTTAATTATTACATAACCTAGCAGGTCGTTGTCTGTTTTGGGTCTTTTTTGGCTTTAAAGTTATGACACTGTTTTGAAACCTTCACTTTTTTCTCCTGCGTTTATAACAATTTATAGCAACAACAGTGGCTCATTTTTTATTGTTTTAAAACAGTTTCTGGGAAACTTGAAGTATGTAAATCAGGATTTTTCATTGGGCAATGTTTCTTGTCGAAAAAATTTTTTTCTGAATTGTCGGAAACATTGTGACCTTTATTGGGTTTATATTTTCGCTTTTATTTTGATGAAAAATCTGACTGCTTTTTGAAGACGCAACAGGCATTATTATAGATGGTGCAGTGGTACATCGATCAGCTGTACAGTTTTATAGTATTTATCTTGGCAAGTAATAAGAGGAAGCATTTAAGTACATCTCTAATTAAACAATTCTTACTCTTCCTTTTCCTTCTTTTTTTTTTTTTTTTT